TTCAGTTACATAAGATTTAAAGAAACTTTGTTAAAGTATTATTTTTTCAATAAATATTTTTATACTTTTCATGAATAATCTTATTCTCTGGTGCCATGACCTTTTGTGTATGTAAAAGATGGCAAATAAACGATTAAGCATAGAAATAAAAACTAAAGTAAATTTTATGATATATTGATTGGAAATGGCTAATTAAATTGCAGATATTTTCAAGCTAATATTACGTTTACTCTCTTTGAAATAGCATATTAAGTATCCATTGCTGTCTTTTCGCAGTTCTGATGTGATTTAGTATTTACTTACATTTTCTCTGAAAAGCAAGAAAACAAACTAATATATTCCGACAATTACTTTTCAACAAGCTGCATCTCAGTTGCTGATTACTAGAGGTTTATGAAGTATTTACTGATTTATTAAGAGCATATGAAGTGTAATACAGGCAGATCATCATCTATATTGTTTCGAGCTATGGAATCGTTGTTAAATAATGAGTGCATCTGGACTCATTATTTAATAGACTTTTTGTTTCTTCTTGGTTATTTTGATTAATTATTTATAGACGTTTTATTTCTTCTTGCTTATTTTGATTAATTATTTATTTAAAGACATTTTATTTCTCCTTGGTTTTCTAAACAGAAAGTAATGAGCAATTTATTATGAATAATACTTTTTTCACAATAACTAGCAAGTGCAGAACAATAATAACTGGAAATAACTCAAAGAGAAAGCGGATATGAAGCAGTTTCTTCTTAGCACACATAATAAATCGTAAATTTCCTCAAATCACTCTCAGTGTAAGCCCTTACGCGTAATTCAGGTAACCGCTAAATCTGACAGCTGATTCACAGTATAACTCCTTAGCTTTTAGACCCATATTTATATCATGTATCCTGAGTTCTGGAAACTTCTGGAAAAATCGATTGTAGGCTTCCAAAAATGTGTTTTTACGAATCTTCCAGAAAATCGTCAAATGTTGTCAACTTTGCGACATAAATTGTGGCTAAGGCTCTTTAGGAACAAAAGTGCCTATATCTCACATTCTAACTGAGCTATTTTTACAATCCAAAGCCATTGAAATTAGAATTAAAAGAGCTACAATTTTATTCAATAAACAAGTTATGTGGCTTCAAAGTAATTAGATTATACACAAACATTCAAAAACAGTAAATAAATAAGATAAATAAACTAAGCAATATGAAATACTACAAAAATACAGTAAAAAAGAATTAAAATATTTGTAACGCTATTAGCATCATAAAACCATTTCGTCTAGTTTTTTCCCTTCCTCTTTTTTGTCTTATTGCCCACAAGTCATTCATTGTAAATATCCGAAAGCAATACTTTATCATTGATCAAAATATCACAAAGAATATTTTGGACGCCTTTCATATCAAGCATTTGGCAGAACATATTAATTTGTTCATAACTATTAGTCAATTAGGTTTCTAAGATTTCTTTTTATGTCCCTTTAGATACATGGATATGCACGGCAATAATAATATTTTACAATTTCTTGTCTTTGGCTTAAATGAGAATCACCAAATCTTATTCAATGAAAACATAAATTATTTTTACGTGAACTGAAATTTTGTTCAGGGCTTACAGTTGCTAGTCAGTCCTTTATATTTAAATTCTCAATCCTTTAAAAAAAATTTTTCATTTGCATAGTCTGGTGAAGCAGGCGAAAAGGTAAGAGTATAAGAGAGATTTTAACATTCGCAAAACGTATTGATTAAAATAAATCTTGCAGTCGCTCTCCCCTCCAAATGATTCAAAACACATTCAGAAGTAAGGTCTTCAGTTAAGCTGCTTTTGATTGATATTCCCCTTAATTTACATCCTTAATGTGCTTCCTTAATGGCCATCTTGGCATACTTAATGCCATATGAGAATTTATTTTGTCTTCCGTTGATATTTTCTCCTCTTGTGTTGCCCCTGTTGTTGGGCTGGTAGTCGAACAAATCATCAAGACAAGGCAATTTGTCCGTAATGACATGAGATTTTATTGGTCTGTAACCTGTAACAATAGGGTGTTCATTCATTTCTTAATTTTGAAATATACAAACGGAATAAATCTACTGTTTCCTGCACGATTATCTTTGATAGTAAATTGCCCCTTTAATTCTTATATTATATCACTTTGAATTTTATTGGTAAGAAGCAGGGTATGGCAACCATGGCGATGGTTGGATATGGCTATATATCGCCGATTTAGCTAGATAGCCATTTACATCAATGTCAAATAAACTTGCCCCATGCAATCTTTTTTTTCCACAGCAGACCTTCGCTAAGGCATTTAATGTTACATTATACAAGAGGTACAACAAGTTTACGTATAATTTCACTGCATTTGTTTATACATATAGAAAATTTGTAACATTATTTTATCTTTAAAACATTTTTAGCTTCAGTAGTCTTAATTTAAGTTACGTTTTCTCGTACCAGAATCTTCTTCTCTTCCATGATCCTTTGAATAACGTCCCTGTTTCGCAAATATTATAACAAGTATTTTCTCCAGCTAATTCCTTCTCTTCAGCGATTTTGCCTGCTTTTTCAGAATTTGCTTTTTCTAGCTCAATATTAACTTCTGATGATGATTTTGGTTAAAATGCTTATTATATTTTGGTGTTGATGTGTTTTGGTTAAGACGCTTATTAGATTTTGGCGCTGATATATCTCGGTTAAAACGCTTATTAGAGATATTCATTTCTAATAGATTGTTTAGCTTTTATATAATCTAGGCAAAGAATTTGATTCCAAATACAACATTTCTGAAATCGCCTAATTGTTCTGTAATGTTTCGCGGCCTCAACCTGCACGCAACAATAGTGGTGACTGGTATGAACTGGAAAGTACACAAAGTCTTGAGAAGGGTTTAAATCCCTTTTTATTCAACTTTAGAAATTACAGATGCGTGCTCTTGACGCTCACAAACTACGCCGACCCGGCGGTAAAATAAAAATAAGAAACTAAAAATGAATAATAGCAAGTGACTACCTACGAGGCTCTCTAAACGTAACTAACCTAACCGCGTTCTAAGATACCGCTGATAATTCAGCAAACTTCTAAATATTACGTTGAAAGATTTAACTATCTGCCGAGGCAAGCACACAGGCCGAAAGGCGCGGTTCTTCAATTTCTACCTAGCCACCTCCACGCTCGTGAAGCAAGAAAGCACACTTTCGAACTCGTTTCCCTTCTATTTAACTCAGAATACTTCCGCTGACTATTTTGAATACTTTGCGCGTTCTACTAAAATTTACATACTCTGGCATTGGCAATTCCAGGGGAGAGTAAGGCTTGACATTAAAGATAGTTTAAACTTAAAATAAATGTTAGTTAAAATAAATATAAACCCTACAGTTCAATAAGTTTATTTGCATTTATAAATTTAAACTTAATATTTGGAAAATGATCTTTTTTCCATTAAAACAAGTCCTCGTAATCTGACCTGTAACGATGAAAATCTGTAATTTTACTCTAAATCGATCCACAATTGAAAATACTACAGTTTCACTGTTTGACGTTTAAATAATTGAAGTATGGCATTTCCAGTTTTAAAAATCAATCTTCAAAGTAATTATATACAGTTAAAATGCAAAATTTAATATAGTTTTTTATGAATTATTGTTTGCCTTAATATTTTATATACCAAATTTTAATGTTATAAAGCAGTGGTTTAAAAATATTAAGACGTAACGTTTTGAATTGTTATGAGTGACTTATAGCGTCTTCGCAAAATATTTCAATACATTTTTTAGAAATGAGATTATGTAGTCTTAATCAGACCTTTAATATATTTAATATAATGATATTTAAGACTACCAAACACCATATAGAGCACTAACTTTGGAAAGAATCTGTTAATTTATAAATAGATTTTGTTTGGAAATTACTTTTAATTAGATAATATCAACAAGCAGCCTTCATGGATTTGGCTCTTACAAAGCTTCATTTGAGTTTATTTTTGTAGAAAGAAATCTTATTATATTTTCTTGCGATAATACACCGAAGAGAAAATTGTACAATATTAAACTAAATGGCTTTTGTCTAACTCTAAAACACGAATGTCCTATGTGCGATTCCATTTCTGATAAAAAAACAAGTATCATGAAAAAAATCATATTGGAGCGGAAAATAAAGTGCCTATGTCTAATTTCGAACATTTCAGAAGACGTGCAATGAAAAAAAAAAAAAGGTTTACTTTCCTCACTAATTGTTGACAGGCGGTAACTGCTGAATAGTGGTAATTTAACCCGGTTTTACATACCGAAGAATGGGCTGGCTGCGTGGATATTTTCGTGGTTTACTTCATGTATTTTGTGATTCTGCGAGATAGTTTCTCTTAAAACATCATTCACGAAAGAATCCTTTCAATTAAGTAGATAGCCCTAGCGTGTAAGGAAATATGTTATTGCAATTTGAAAACATTTTTTAGTCTTCTATAAGTCTAGCAAAAATTGAAGATAAAATAAAATTCTGGTTTGTATTTTAGGACAAGTTCGTTTTCAGTCACTTTTTCGCTTAAAAAAATAGTAGGAAAAGATTTGAAATTTATGAATTTATTCGACCTTTACTGAAAAATTCGATATTTGCTATATCTCTAAACATTTGCGAATCTAATCATGGAAATTCATGCCGTGATCAAAATACTGCTTTACGTATAGCATTTGTGACAGGTTGCAGTACAGAATCGCATTACAAAAATTGAACCTCGATAATTCGCATGGGAAGCTAGTATTATATACTTCGGTGTAGCTTAATTAAATATTAAACAAATGAGGCACAAATGGAAAAGGATGATGGTATTCAGCACAAGCCGCTTAAAAATTATTAATTTTTTATTGACGAGTATAACATATTTACTCATTATGTTTGGCAAAGTAACTTTTGTGTTTATTTACATAAGAACAAAAAAGAAGAAAAGTTGTTATTTCTACCACACCTTTTCCTGTTCTTTCTAAGGACAATTTAACAATTTAAGGCGATTTAGCCTTGACGATGAACTACTTTCTTATCATCGTCAAATTTTTTTCACTTGAGGTTTAGAGTATAAAAGCGGGCGGTCCATTGCCGAAAGTTATATCTTCTTTATCTCCTGCAGTGAGTAAGAAAATCTCAACTTCACCATGCATTACTTGGTAAGCATAAAGTTTTCCTTATATTTTGAAAATTAATAGAAATTGCGAATCTTAATATAAACCTTTTATAGAATAAAGAAAATTTATAAATTAATCATTGCAATGAAATAGATTACAGAATGCTAACCTAATAGACTTAACGATTTAGAATTTTTGTTGAAGCAGTTAGCTTCATTTATCTAAAATATATGTTTTTTGAAAATATTTAACTTTTGTTTTAAATATGACTTAAAGAATCTCATTTGCAGATTTTAAAGAATACGTAAAACTGCCTACAATGGTCAAATGATAAAAATAATTCTTTGTTCTTTAAGAGAATTAAAATTTAATTAAAAATTAATTTTAACTTTGAAAGGCCTGACTTTTCTTCTGCATTTCATTTTGCATTGAAAGGCCTGACTTTTCTTCTGCATTTCATTTTTGAATATAAAATACTTAAAGAGAAAAAATTCCAAATATTAAGTAATACAAATTATATATATCGTACAAAAAATTAAGAAATGTTTAAAATATTGAAAGTTGAAAAGGATTACTGCAAACTATACATTACTACAAAACTTCACCATTATTATCAGATTTTATTTAGAATAAGTTAATATACATGATAAATAGAGATAGAAATAGTGTAAATGGCATATTATATGGTGTCTTCTTTAAAAACGTTTTCCATTTATTATTCTAATGCATTGAAATAAAATTTCTTGCATGACGTCATTATTAACAAATTACGGATGGAATTACTTTTAATTAATTCGCTTTGTCACACTGAAAACCAATGCAGTTCATTATACAGATGATCATGAAATTCGTCTTAAATTTTTATTGTGTGAACATATTCTAATTATTAAGTCGAACAGAAACACTAAATAATAATAAATAAAAAAAATGCGAAGTGTTAAGATTTTTTTTGGCATTTTGTTAAATGAAATCAAATAAAAATAATTCCTGTGAATTCTGTATTTCACTTAAAAAGTTTCTAATGAGCCGACAATTTTCCCTTTTAATTTCCAGTTCGCTATCCTTGTCTTGGTGGCCCTGATGGCAGTGGCCTTCGCTCAGTGGCCATACTATGGGACCTACTACAACACTCATGCCCTGGCTTACCCCTATGCCTATAACTACGGCGTCTACAACCCAGCTCTCACCTACTTGTGGAAGAAATGAACGTAAGTTTTAATCTTTTTTAAAAACGTATTCCTCTTTTGCATCGTAGTTGAAAATTGTCAGTGCATTCAGTTACACTTTAAATGCCGTGTATTTGAATTAAACTCCTGTCGGCTGTTTCCTCATAACAATCTTGACTACAAACACAAGTGCGCATACGCAAATCAGTTTATCTTGTTTTTAAAGCAGGACCAAGAGGATGGCTCTTGAGGTCTTTATTATATTTGGTTTTCCGCCCCCACTATGATAGCATAATTTTTAAGAAGAAGGGAGCGATCTAAAATATTTAAACTATTGCAAATAAAGCCTTTGTAATTTCACTGAATCATCAACTAAATGATTTCGTCTTATTCCCACAAATAAATACTTTTCTATCTGATAAATCTTCTGGACAAGTATATATATTTTGGCTTGGTACTGGAAGGATAACTTTTATCATGGTTTGGGGCTATGCTTCTCATTATTTGCTTTTTAATTAGATGTAGAAACCTCAAATTATGATTACCTAATAAATGATAATAATTCAAAATCCAAATTTTCTCTCAAAATACACCCCTCCATATTTTATTCTCCCGTTGTAATTAAATCATGTATAAAATCAAATTTAGATTGTGATAAACGTTAACCTGGTTGCATATAGAAAAAAACACCGTTTGTAAATATTTAAAGGCGTAATACATTACATTAGTAAGGAGAGGTTGATCATGCTTAAAAAGCGCAGATTTAACAAGTGGCAGACTTAAATTTTAAACAAATCTTACGCCCGGTTAACACAATAAATATGAATTGCGAGTAGCAACGAAATTTAATTAAAGAAGTTTAAAATATGTTACAGATGTGGAAGAAAACAGTGTACAAAATACTACTTATTTATGTCCTTTTTTCTTTGGCGCATTCCATTTGTAAAATTACACATCCTTAAAAAATATATTGAAAATCAAAAGAACAATTTTAAGAATGTCTATCAGCGAAATAGTAGTTGGAAAGGATGTAAATTTTGATTATATTGCTTATGACTCTAAAAATCAGTAGTAAATTCTATATTTGAAAAAATTCGAACTTGAAAGATACCAGTAATGACGAAAACATTTAAATTACTGCTGTTTACAGAAATATATTTCATTACCAATAAATATGTATGATGTTTCTAATAATTTTATACTTTATATCTTTCCAGGTAGCAAATGAGAAAAGTTCGCAATGAAAGAAGATGATGAACTATGTCGAAGATGATGGAAATATCTTAATTCCTTTTACCTTTGCTCGTTCAAATTCTCGATATCTTTCTGTTTCCATTTCTGAAATAAAAAAAAAATTAAAATGGAAATTCACCATTTGTCGTCTTTTATTTGTTTTCCCATTAAATTAGCTGATATGAATAATTTTAAATGCTATTTTTAGTTTGAACAAAGTTAAAATAACAAATATTTTTAAATACTTATCGATTTTGTATTGGTAAATTTAGACTATTTAATAAAAATATCACTTGTACAATAAAAACAGCCGAAATACTTAGTTATATTAGAATTCCACGTACAGTTTTAGGCATTGTATTATGTAAATAATATATAGTAGCACACGAAAAACTTTGCAGTTTGAAAATTTCAGACTACGAGAATAATAAATCACTTCGAAGAAGGTTTTAAAAGATTTTCAAATATAAAAAATCATTAAAATTGTTTTAAAATAAAAAGGATATTATTATTGCTAATTCATGAAATTAAATCGTTGCTATCACCTAACAATGAACAGAAGCATTAAAAACAATTTAAATTTTAAAAGCTCCCAAGTTTGTTTCTACATTTCTTTTCGAAAAGCAAGATGGCATTAAAAAGAAAAGATATGTTATTACATAACAAAAAGGGGAAAAATACAAAAGAAGCTTGAAACTTCTTCGCCCCCCACACAAACATACATATTTCATACATATAATATTGGAAAATTTCATCTTAACAATTAGAATTCATAGCTTATACAAGAAGCAGAGTTGAAAACTTTGATACAAATATATTATAGGATGTTATAAATCTATTTATTTATGATACTTATAGTATGAAACTGTAGTTGTTACAAAAAGTTACTGAAAGAAAATAACGTGCTTCTTAGAATGTCTTCCTGGTGTAATGGTCAACACTCTCAGTGCGTATTCGAGAGGCACGAGATTCGAGTCCAGGCGAAGGCATTGCTCATTTTTCTTTTCTCCAGCATCGAAATAACCTAATGTCTCCTCAGTTGCACCCGAGCTAAAAGGGTGGTGCACGATTATTCTCCACTATCAGAATTTGGCGACTGGGTCCCTTAATCCCCAGTCGTCCTTTAAAAGGGGGAGTATATAAGGCATTTCTCCCGCCTTTTTAGCATGCCTTCGTAGTGTAATGATCAGCACCCTCGGCGCGTATTCCAGAAGTCCGAGGTTCGAGTCCCGGCGAGAACATTGTTCATTTTCCATCTCTCCTGCTTCAAAATAACCTAATGTCTCTACAAACTATACGCAATATTCGTATAACATAACTTCCTAAGGATAAAGTTTAAGAGCAAGAAGCCTATTTTAAAATCTGAATTTAAAAAATCCACTTCACATGTGAAATCCCCAAGTGAAAAGCTATAAAAATGCCAAAAATTTAAATTTATTAATAATCGAATTTAGAATGAATGAATTATTTGGGTTAGTAGATAAAACGAGAAACGATTTGTGAAAACGAGATTATTTTCTAAATTAGGTAACGTTAAACTAGACATACATCTATGAAGTAAAAAAAAAATTATTTAGTTCAGTACATAGAACTTACTTGTAAACCCTTCCCCTTCCCCAAAAAAAGGGAATAGAGGTAGAGAGTTTAAATAGTTAAAATTTTGAAAGATTAATAATCGGTTATAAAAGAAATCTTGTAATAAATTTGTATTTGTTTTAAAAAGATTTCAGGCTTCAACTACGCCGAAATATTTTGGGAGCTATGAAAATATCGTCTCCTATTTAATACATCATAATTCATTTTAATTCATCAGAAATTTTCTTTTGCAGTTTAGAGCAGGAAAAATAACCACGAATGTGGTTGTTGTATTTTCCTATGTATTAACATCGAACTCACTGTGCCGGCATACTCAAAGCTTTTGCTGCCTAGGGCACCCTTTGAGTTTACCTCCCTTTCCAATAAATAAATAAATAAAAACCACTATAAAATTTCTAAAATTGCCTAATATATTTTAATAATGTTTAATGTTTTTACCTAAAACGGCACTTATGGGAACAAGAAATGAACACTTTTTAGCCCAAAGCCCAAATAGGCGTTAGTCCAGAAGGGTTATTAGCCTCGAAACAACACTTCGAATCACTATAAACAGCTGTATCACTTTTCAAATTGTTGCCACCAAATATTATCGTATTGTATTATACTTAAAGAAGTTCAATAATGGAAAATGTGCACATAGGTATGCATGTTTCTCTGATTGTGTAAAAACAACGATATCTAGAGCCATCAAATTTTAAATAACATAATCGTCTACCCGAATATAGCCACCTGGGAGCCACAATCTTGAATTTTGAATTTTTTTATTATCTATTTCATATTTTTTAACCTTTAATGAAATTTTGATTAATAAACTCAGCGATTTCAAAGCGAGCAGTGGAAACCATTATATTGAATAAAAAGTTTATCTCCAGCGCACGAGATTGTCTATCGGAAATTTTAAAGATATGCGGTTTTAAAATATTTTTACTCCAAAGGGGTGTTAGCCCAAGTGCTCTCGAAACGTGTATCTACGTGTAAATGAAAAAATAAAACGCCCCTTTGGGCACAATATAAAATCTATATTTGTTTATTTTCTGTTTTTTTTTTTTTTTTTTTTTTTTTTAATTTAAATTCATACTTAAAATATAATATTCTTAAATGATATTTTGCTTGTTTTCTGTTAATAAGTCATCAATGGTATTGTAGAAGTTTGTGTCATTATTCCTTCATTGCAGCTGCTGTTTTGTACACAGAATCTTCCCCTCCTGCAATCAAAAGTGAGGTTTAAATTTATATTGCATGATTATCTGGTGTTATGTTTACTCTTATTGCTCTGTAGGAAGTCTTTCTATATCTGATAGCAAATGAAATAAAATGCTTAAAAAATTATAAACGAAACAACACTTGTATGAAAATACTAGAAACGGGCTATTCTTCTAGTGTAATAAAAATGGGTAATTATTTTTAGAAATGAATCGGATTATTTGATATGACAAAGAGTTCTAGGAACATCTTCTAATTAAAGGAATATATATAAGAGCAATATTTTTAAATACTGTAATTAAAACTGCAAGGCAATTTTCTCTTTTAATGGCTATATGAAATATGACAACATTAAGAAATCATTATTCTAATATTTTTAAATTATAGCTTTTTTATTGTTTTAATTTCCTGCGAAAAATGGAACAAGAAACATGTATCAAGGCCATAGCCTTCATTTATATTCCTACTAAATCTCCTGACGTATTATCCACAGATGTTTGCGCTTTTAGAAAAATCCGTGGAATTTTGGAAACGCGGATTGCCCAGATGTCGACCTATAACCCTCCTTAGCCTTCGGAAAGCTGCTCAAGAGGAAAGGGATAAAATACCTCTTTCGCTATTAAGAAAAGCTTTATTGTCTTGGAAATTACTGCGTAGAAAGATACTGAAGATTAAATGTTATCAAACAGGACATTTAAAGCACAAAAGGTTTAGGTAAAGTACACTCATGTCCATAAATTAAGGATAATGCAAAATCAGGCAAAGGAAGAGTTAGAAGCAAAACAAATTTGACTTATTTGTAAAGCTTATTTATTAAAGAAAACGGTGCTCTACTGGATTCAAGTCCGGTGAGAATGCTGGCCAGTCCATACGGGTGATATCCTCCTATTGAAGGCATTCGCTTACGATTTTGCACGGTGAGGACGGGCGTTGTCATCCATAAATACAAATTGTGCGCCCATGGCGCCCCGAAACAAAACGTACATGTTGTTCCAGAATGACGTCCCGATAGATTTGGCTTGTCATGGTTCCAATTTGAACATGCAGATCAATTCTGGAACCCAGAATAATTCACCCCAAACGAACACTCCTGCACCACCGTAACGGTATCGTTCAATGATGTTTTCTTGGTGGTAACGGGTACCTGGAGCTCTCCATATAAAGTCCGGTGAGAATCAGACTGTAAGCTAACCCTGGACTCTACGGAAAACATCACGAAAGCCTACTGTTGCGGTGTCCACAATGCATGCTCTCTACTCCAGGCTAACCGCAGGCCACAGTGAGTTGCAGTAAGTGGAACGCATCTGACAGGTCTACGAGCATATAGACCAATCTGCCCTAAGCGTCTGTACACGGTCTGCCTTGAAATTGTCGTACCAGTGGCTGAAGAGAGCTGACGAGACAGGTCTGAGGCTGTGCTCCGCCTGTTTCTTTTGGCAGTAACTTCCAAATACCGGCCCTCATTCGGCGTTGTAACTCTGGGGCCACCTGTGCTGTAACGTCTACTCACATTACCATTATCTTGGAATCGTTGCCAAAGCCTGAAGATGACACTCTGGGCAATTCCAAGTTCGTCTGATACTTCCAGTTGGGTACGCCCACATTCCAGACGGCCGATAATTCTACCAAGTAAAAAATCATCCAAATGCGTCCTTTGTGTCATAATTATTTGGTTATTGCAGTGAAATGCTTATAAAGCGCCTGAGAACAATTTAACTTCTTTGCCTGTATTCCTTATATATCACTCTCTTCGTCATTCTGACGTACCATGGGTGTCATCTGGTTACTTCCTGAATTTTGCATATGATTCCTGAAGATGTGTGTAGTGATTTTACAGGTGATATATTTATTTTAGAGTCGATTTCCGCGTGACTCCGAATTATCCTTAATTTATGGACATGAGTGTATTTCTGTAAATGCAATGAAAATCGTCTAAAAAGTGTGCGAACATCCTTACTAATAAAAAATGTAGAGTAGACAGCCGTATGTTCAGCGATCAGTTTAGGAGTAGTCACTAGTTTCTAGTTATATTGATACTCTGAACTAGTTATTAATACAGTCAACATCTAAAAAGCGCCAAATACTACTATTGCTGTTACTAATAATAAATTGCTCCAGAAGAACAGATATTATAAAGTTAATTTTAATTCGCAGTCCAGAGTTATAATTTTGCTACGATCAGTTCTCAAATTAAAAATACCGAAAGTTCAGTTTATTATATTAACCTACTTGGCATACAAATTTGTTATTGGAAAAGAGAGGATTGAATTTTTTTTATTTAAATCAGAATCAGATTTTAAAAATTTAAATTCACTTTTTGCTTTTAAAGAAACATTTTAATA